AATGAATGAATGAATGAGTGAGTGATATTGGCAGTTGGACAATATCAGCAAGTCTGTGTTCTAATCCCGGCTTTGCCTCTCACGCATTGTATGTCCTTGAGCAAGTCCCTATCCCTCCTGAAGTTTCCATTTCCCTGCAAGTAAAGAAAGGATGAGACGATGTGAGAAAGTGGTCCGGGTTCATTCTTCTGCGTGACCCTGTCCAGTTTTCCCAGCACCATTTGCTGAAGAGACTGTCCTTTTTCCATTGGATTCTCTTTCCTGCTGCATCAAAGATTAGCTGACCATACATCAGTGGGTCCATTTCTGGGTTCTCTATTCTGTTCATTGATCTTTGTGTCTGTTTTTGTGCCCGTACCATACTGTCTTGATGATTACAGCTTTGTAGTATAGCTTAAAGCCCGGAATTGTGATGTCTCCAGCTTTGGTCTTTTTCTTTTTCTTTTTTTTTTTTTTTTTAATTTTTTAAATGTCTATTTTTTTTTGAGAGAGAGAGATAGAGTGTGAGCAGGGAGGGGCAGAGAGAGAGGGAGACACAGAATCCGAAGCAGGCTCCAGGTTCTGAGCCGTCAGCACGGAGCCCGATGCGGGGCTTGAACCCACAGACTGCGAAATCATGACCTGAGCCGAAGTCGGACGCATAACTGACTGAATCACCCAGGCGCCCCTTCGGTTTTCTTTTTCAAAATTATTGTGGCTATTTGGGGTCTTTTCTGGTCCTATACAAATTTTAGGATTGTTTGTTCTAGGTCTGTGAGAAATGCTGGTGAGGGATTATACATTCTCACGGGGGCAGTAGCACCCCCAGGAAGGAGGTGAAAATGGTTCTTTGGGCACAAACAAACAAAAACAACCTTAATTCTTTTTATATATAAAGCACAGATATGCATATAGGACATACACAGACACACATTATATTAAAATTCTAATATAGCTTTGTATTAAATTGTAATATAACTTGTGCCACAAATTTGTATTAAGTTGTAATATAAAATTGGATTAAAATTTCACGGTGGGGTGACAATCAGGAAAAGAATGTCTAAGAAAGACTTTTGGAGTGGGGGTAGGACAATAATGAAGAAAAGGTTGTGAAACACTAGATTTGATATAGAAGATTCCTTCCAGGTCTGACAGTTTATGAACCTTTGACTCCAGGTGAAGGGGGCTGAGGGTTGGCGGGAAATATCTAAGGGAACAGGAAACAGCAAGAACCCAAAGAACCTCAACTTGGGAATAAACCTGGTATTGTGGACTGAAATGCTTCCCCCCAGAATTCATACATTTAAGTCCCAACCCCAGGACCTCGGAAGTAACCGAATTCAGAGAAAAGGTCTTTAAAGAAGTGATTAAGTTGGGCCATTGAGGTGGAGCCCTAACCCAATAGGACTGGGTCCTTCCAAAAAAAGGAAGGGACATGGGGGGCGCACACACAGAGGAAAGGTGAGGACAGACAGGAAGCAGCCACCTGCGAGCCAAGGAGACAGGCCTCACCAGAAACTACCTCTGACGGCACCTTGATCTTGGACATCAACCTCCAGGACAGCGAGAAATACTTATCCGTTGCTGAAGCTGCCATTTTGCAGCGCTCTGTTCTGGCAAACAGCAAGCAAGATGCCCTTGGCATGTTCGAGGAAGACTCACTGGAGGGACAGGGGGTGAGACGGGCCATGGGAGAGGCAGGTGACGGCCAGCCGGTTAACTAGAAAGATGCTGTTGTGCTGTGTTGTGTTGTGTTGTGTTGTGTTTTGTGTTGTTTTGTGGGGAGGAGAGGAGGGTTTTGAGCAGAGGAGTGACAAGGTCCATTTTCTTTTTTAATTTTTTTATCTTTATTTTTTAGAGAGAGAGAGACAGAGAGAACGCAAGTTGGAAAGGGGCAGAGAGAGAGGGAGACACAGAATCTGAAACAGGCTCCAGGCTCTGGGCTGTCAGCACAGAGCCCGAGGCAGGGCTCGAACTCCGGAACCGCGAGATCATGACCTGAGCCAAAGTCCCACCCTTAACCAATTGAGCCCCCCAGGCGCCCCCCTCACCTCCCACTCTTAGCCACCTGGCATCACTCTCCGGGCCACATACGGGCGCCTCAGACCCGATGGCGGGTGTGAACGCTCTGGTTTTGACCTGGGTCGTGAAACTACATGGGGTGGGTGGCAGGGGAGGGGGGTGGTTTGGACCAAGTGGGGATGGTAAGAAGAGATTGGATTCTGGTACAGTTTGCAAGGACAGCCTGCAGGATTTGCAATGGATTGGATTGGGGAGTGAGAAAGAGACATGTTATGGATCCCAGCTGGAACCGCGTAGCTTCCGTTTTGATGAGCTGTTTGCAGTGCGCGTTTGGACGTCCACGCGGAGGTGCCCGGGAGGCAGCTGGACATTCAGGGATCAAGTTCAGACAAGAGGCGGTCGTAGAAAGAAGCACCCAGGAGGGTCTTCGCCGCCCCCCACCCATCTCCTATCACCTGCCCCAGAGTCGTTCTTACCCATCCCAGCCCGGCAGCCCACAGGCTCCCCCCACTCTCCCAGGACATTGTAGCCCGTGGTGGGTTCATCTGAGAGTAAGGACTTCACGTGCCTTGTTTACCACTCCCCGGGGGGCCTGGCACGCAGAGGGACCCCGACAAATGCTGGTCTGAATGAACGGGACGACCCAACGAGGGGTTAAGAATTACCCAAGAACAAATGTTCCCAAACACATCCCTCCCCTTCCGGAGCCGGATAATGTTATCTTTTCCAGCAGGCGGCTCGGACCCCACCCTGTCCGGTCTCTGTCCGACTGACTTACAGCAAAGGAAGACACTCCGGAAAAAAGAGCCAGAGGGCTTATGACTGTTAAGGCAATCTACATAATAAAGAACCCAGGGGTGGGGAGAGAGCCGGAGAGGGCACGGAAAGGGAGTTTATTTCTTTGTTTCAGAGACCTCCCTTGGAGGGTAGAGGACTTTAGGGTAGTATGTGAGAAGGAACGGGGTAAAGACAAAAGGAATATGAGAAATGTCGCTAGGGGAGAGAACTGGCCCCCTTCACACGTGGCTTTAAAAAACACAAACTAAGGGGGCGCCTGGGTGGCTCAGTCACGTGATTTCAGCTCAGGTCGGGCTCTGCACTAGCTGGGCACGGAGCCTGCCTGGGATCCTCTGTCCCTCTGTTTGGCCCTCCCCCACTGGCTGGCCGTCCCACTCACTCACGCTCTCTCTCTCTCTCTCAAAAATAAGTTAACATTAAAAACATAAAAAATAAAACACTTGTGTACTAGGAACAATTTAGCAGGAAGATAGCAATCATCAATGTAAGTTCACCAACGGGTGCCTGGCTGGCTCTGTCGGCGCAGCATGTGACTCTTTGTCTCAGGGTTGTGAGTTCAAGCCCCATGTTGGATGAACAGATTAGTTTTAAGAAAACATACACACGCACACACACACGCACACACCTAATAACAGAGTATCAACATTCTGGAAAAAAGAAAAAAAATCAGGAAACAAAAATGGATAAAACTAAAGGGAGAAACAGATAAATCCAGCTTATAGTAGGAGATATTAACAACCCTCTCTCAGTGATTGATAAAAATCTGAGTTAAAAAAATCAGCAAAGTGGCGCCTGGGTGGCTCAGTCAGGTAACTGTCTGACTCGGGCTCAGGTCACGATCTCAAGGTTTGTGAGTTCGAGCCCCGCATCAGGCTCTGTGCTGACAGCTCAGAGCCTGGAGCCTGCTTCAGATTCTGTGTCTCGCTCTCTTGCCGTCCTTCCCCTGCTCGTGCTCTGCCTCTCTCTCTCTCTCTCTCTCTCTCTCTCTCTCTCTCAAAAATAAGCATTAAATTTTTTTTAAAAAATAAAATAAAATCAGCAAAAATGTACAAAAATCTAACCCGCATTTGCCAAAAACACTAACCAACCTCAGCTTGACCTAATCGACACTGACAGAACGCTATACCCAACAACTGCAAACCTTAAACAAGTCTCAAGTATACATCCAAGTTTATCCAAAACGGACCATTTGCTGGACAATAAAATAAGTCTGGATTCATTTCAGAGTCTTGCAATCTTACATCGTTCCAATTTTAGTATGTGTACTGCCAAAGCGAGCATGAGTGTTGAAATCTCATACACTGTATTCTCTGACCACAGGGACTTGATAACAGAGCAATGACAATAAAATATCTAGAAAATCCCAAAGGGATAACATGCCTTTATTAAAGGCATGTTCTTATTAAAGAACCCATGGGTCAAAGAAGAAATCACAAGGGAAAACAGAAAATACCCGACTGAATGATAATGGAGACACGTCCAATTCAAATCTGGGGGGAGCATCCAAAGCTGTGCTCGTAGGGAAATTGATAGCTCTAAATGAATATATGGCAGGGGGTGGGGAACAGGGCCCAAAATTAATGACCCAAGAGACTACCCTTAAAAGCTACAGATGTGGGGCCACCTGGGTGGCTCCGTCAGTTGAGCATCTGACTTCGGCTAAGGTCATGATCTCGCTGTTCCCGAGTTCAAGCCCCGCATTGGGCTCTGCGTTGACAGCTCAGAGCCTGGAGCCTGCTTTGGCTTCTGTGTCACCCTCTCTGTTTCTGCCCCTCCCCTGCTCGCACTCTGTGTCTCTCTCAAAAATAAATAAAAAAA